CGGGACGGGAGGGGGTTTTCTGGGGTTGTTGTGTCGGTGAGTGTGGGTTGGAGGTGGGCGGGGTTCGGGGTTGCCATGGTGGGGTGCTGGGGCCTTGGGCTGGTGGTTGTGAGGCGTTGTTGTTGGTGGTGTTGAGTGGAGGGGGGGGGATAGGGTGCTGCGATGTCTCCTGGTGCAACTAGATATTGAAGGATTAGTTAGTTTGCGCTTGTATTTCCGTCTGGGTTGATTTGCGGGGGGGGGGGGATGAGTCAATTTTGCTTAGACAGCGGGGTTATTGCTCAAAAATGAAACAAAAAGAAGAATATCTGAACGTGCAAATTAATTTCTTCGGTGTTCTATGAACGTGGGCTGGGGATGTCCCCATGGCACCACCCCCACTGCCTTCACTTCCTCCAGCTGCTTTGTCCAGCGTCATGGTTCTGAGGCGGTTGAAACCGTTCCAGATCGATGTTGGAGGGGTAGACTAAGTAAGGGGAGGTTAGGCGCATCTAACTAAAACATTGGTGGTTGTATGGATTGTGAAAAGAGAAAGTCTATATGGTGATTTCAAATGAGCAACGGGTATAACAGGGCAATGTCTATGGTTGGCAGTTTAAGGGAATGGAGGAAGAGGAAAAGGGGAACGAGAGGAGGAGTTGAGAAGTTGAGGATAGGACAGAAAGTTTTGGTAGCAACGTGACCTTTCCCAAACCTCCCAGCGGATAAAAGGAGCTGGGGCGCTACAGAGTACAAAGTTAGCTACGAAATATACATGTTGTAGGGCACTACAAAGACAGCAGATATTTCTCTCTTGATAATAATTTCCATTTTTTAGGTTTATAATTTCTTCTTTTAGATTTTTTTGGTGGTCAAGCTTCTCTCTCCCCTCCTGGCTTTTCACCCTAGCTATGATTGAAATGGTACTACCCAAAATCAATATTTAATCAATCATCAAAGAGTAGAAAAGCCAAAAGAAAAAGAAAACCAACCTGACCATCATGTTTGTCTTTTGTCCAGCCAGAGAGAGGAGAAAGGAGAAGAAAAACCCCCGCCCCTTTTTCTCCTCTTTCTGACCAGCAACAAAAAACAAACCAGACTGGAAATCCAGATGGTTCGTACCACCTGGTCCCCATTGTCTTGTAGAGAGTAGAGATGTGTCTATCGAAACCAGAACATTGTAAAAGAGAAAAAAAGCAAAGCAAAATGCTGGAAAGGGAAACAAAAAAAAAAAAAAAAAAAAAAAAAAAAAAAACAAATGCAATCACAATCACCCATATGCAATCACCCCCAACCCGCATTCAAATAAAATAAAAACCTCCTTGGCCAAACATGTTGATATCTCTCTGACTTGATACGCCTGGTTAGAAAACAAAAACAAACATGCAAAAATAGACAAACAAACACCACCCAAGACACGCTTTGTATGTATTTATGGTAGAGTACATGCGAACACTTTATTTCCCAAAACGCCAGCTTAGAAAAGAAATCAAAAACAAAATTGAAAATTTTTAGGGGTATTTTGCCTGGTTGATGAACAGTAACAAAAATCAGAGATGCAATTATTTTTTCTAGGCCAGACAAAAATCGGGTCCAGCCCAGTGTTTTAAATCTTTTGATATATGTGATGAAATGGACCGAGGATTAAAAAAAATAAAAAATAAAATAAAAGTTTAAGGTAAGGTGAACATAGGAAAACAAATCACGAAGGAAGAACGGTGGGCGAGAATTTATAAAGAAACAAGCCCGGCCCGTTCATGATTTTTGGTTTTGTTTGTTTTAAGCCGACGTCACGGCCTGGGAGCTGCCTGTACCGCCGGCGCCGCCGCCACCACCGACAAGTTCCAGCACTTTCCCAGTGACCGCAGACGGGTATCCGCGCGACAGCATCTCCTGCACAACACGCGACGCACCCTGACGATCTTCCGCAGCCAAAAAGGCCCTGGTCATCGCTTCATAGGTGCTGGGCTCGCGCTTGCTGATGCCAATGCCATTATACACCGACAGCGCATTAGCGATGTTTCCATCAGCCGCCCAGCCGTGGATGAGCGTGTTGGCGATGTACGGTGTCATCTCGACGTTGCGGCTGACCATGTGCTTGAGCAGCTCGGCGGTTGCGGACACTTGGTGGTTAGCCACCATTGCCTCGAAGAGGGCTTGGTAGAGGCATGGCTGCGGCTGGACGTGGCGGTTTGAGATGACGGAGTCGAAGATCTTGCGCGCACCGTCCATGTCGTGCATGACACAGCCCTTCGCGTGGATGAGAGAGGCGAAGTGGACGGCTTCGGGCCTTTGGCCTTTGGAGCGGATAGTGTCCAGCACTTCCTCGGCGGCTTTCATGTCGACGGGCTCTAGAGAGGCGTAGGCATCGATTAGGAGTTTGTAGGTGTGCATTGTGGGCTGGATGTTTTTGGTTTTCATCCGCTCGTAGTATGCCAGCACCTTGGAGCGGTCACGTTTCGTGTTGAGGAAGTACTGGATGATGGAGTTGTACGGAGCCGGGCGGGGTTTGTAGTTTGGCATCGATTCCATCTCATCGAACATCTCCTCTGCGAAGCGCTCATCGCTGACTCTGCAGAGGGCGTTGACGATGGTGCCGTAGGTAACGCTTGTAGGTCGGATTCCATTAGCACGCATCTCGGCAAAGTAGAGGAGGCAGTCATCAATCCGACGAGCTTTGCCAAGCTTTCCGATCAGTGCATTGTAGAGGAACGATGTGGGGTCAACTCCTTCCGATATGGCGCGGTGGAAGATCTTAACGGCCTCCGTCGCTTCATCGAAGGTTTTTGTCGACTCCTTCAGGGTGGTGATGTAGAGACCAAAGGTATTGGCAGACGGTGCCGAACCGATGTTGTTAAGCTCCTGGTGGTATTTGGCAGCCTGGCCGCGTTCGCCAAGCGTCAAGCTGGCAGCAACCATAGCGTCGAGAATGGATGTCCAGCCATATTTGACGACCCTGTAATGAGGAATCAGAGGAACGTCGTGCCTAGCCATACTCAAGATCTCCTGCACGAGACTCATGCGCCCACACTTTGCAGCTGCGGTGATCAACTTGGTATAAGTGATATACCGAGGATGTCTGCCAATGCGGCGCATATTCTTGAATTTAATCATGGCATCATTGAGGTGGTTCTCCACCCTACCACTCGTGTTTTCTAGGATATCAGCGATGACAGCAGATCCACGGAAATCGGTAGCATGGGCATATGGATCGAAAGTGTCTTCGGGGGTCGTTGGTTTCGTCGCTGGTGAAAGCTGGGGAACTGGGGTGTATCGTGCCGGTACAAAGGTAGCGTTAATGACCGGGGACTGCACATAACCACGCCATCTCTGAACCAAATCTGGGCGGCTGTCAGTGATCTTAAGGACAGCTTGCTCAAGCACACGGGATTTGAGTGTGTGTACTGGGATCCCGGCGGCCAATGCAAGTTCCAGCATATGGGCAAATCGTGCTGGGTGGGCAGCGTCAAATAGATCAGAGGCATTGACCAGCATTGAAGCCTGAACTTGAAGAGCAAGTGTCAGGTCTTGGATGCTCAGCTGCGAGATACCCGACGGACCAAGGCTGGCAATGACGTGCTCTGCTACTGGTGAAACCAGTCCACCATTCTCGATCATAGCCCAGATTAGCGTCATGGAGGCGTGTGCCGAGAGAACAGTGGAAGACTCGATCATGACGCGCCCGAGGAGATCGATAGTTTCATCGATCTCTTCACGTAGGTGACCCCGGGCAACCTTGCTGTCAACAGACTTCCGAATACGAGCGAACATATTCCGAGCTTCCACCAGGCCTTCCTCGACTTGGCTGCTCTTAAGAAGGGCAACCGTATACATGGCGGTCGGATGGATAAGGTCCCGAGTAGCGTGGTTTGTCGAGGAGAGGACAGTCCAGAATGGTTTCGCTGAGGCAAGGCTTCCCTGGCGGATATGAAGAGCCAGCATTGCAGAAGCGGGGCCCATGGCGACGGGGGATTCCAGGGGAAGAAGATCGTATGCTTCGGATGCAACGGCGAGATTACCCGAATCAGCAGCAGCCATACAGATCTTGGCCAGTGCTGATTCAAGGTTGGGATTTGAAAGATATTCTCGAGCGGTTGTAAGGGCCTCCGAAAAGTTTCCAGTTTTGATTGCATGCTGCATCAAGCCATCCTTGACAACAATAGCCTCAACGATAGACTTTCTCACTTCCCGATCCTTCACTTCATCGAAAGACGATCTAATCTTATCGAAAAATCGGAGAGCGCCAGCCTCTTTACCACAAGAGAGATAGGCTTTGATGAGCGCGGCATAAACCTCAGCGTCCTTCCGCTCGATAATTCCAAATACACCACTATCGTCAGCAATGGCCAATGCTTTGTATTCATTATAGCATTCCACAGCACTCTTCAAATCACCGTTTGCGGCAAATGCATCAATCATGGAAGGGAAGATGGTTGCGTGCGGGACAATTTTGTGGGTTTCCATATGGGCGAAAATCTTAATCATTTGCTCCACCTCCCCTCTCTTTGCACAGGCAGTTATGAGAGTGCAGTAAGCTTCCAATGGGAACATAATATCGGCATGGTGTGAGATTGCAGCAGTGAAGAGCTTCAGAGCAATCGAAAGAGAATGATCCTCAACTAAGAGTTCATGCTCGGCCTCGCTTGACTGGAATATAAACTTGCCCTCCTCTTCCATGCCGCCATAACGCGCTCGCTGCTCGTTTAGAGTCTGAATCGACTGGAAGGTTTTTAGGGCGCGGGATGCCAACAGCTGGACGAGAATAGTGTATGTTTGTTCATTTGGCAGAACGGTACGGCGCAGCATATCCGAGTAGATATCAAGAGCCTTGGGAACAGCATGGTAGATATCCGCATGAAGGTGGATAGCGGCCTCGAGGAGCGCATTGTAAGCTCCAACAGTCGGAACGAGGCCATCCTTGAGCAGACTCTCGAAAGCACCGGGTACAAGGGAATATTGTTTGGTATCTGCTAGTTGCATTACACGGCCAGATTGGGCCTGGGTTTTTTTCAATGCTTCGATGTCCTTGGAATTGGAGGATTCATCAACCTCAAGAGTAGGCTCCTCCACGGAAGATTCTGGAGTTGGCTTGGATGAGGCCGCCTCGGCTGACTCGACACTATTCGCGGATTCCGCGGTCGAAACATCCGGTTCCTCCTCCACCTGCGCAAGAGCCTCTGCATCATGGATCTGTTGTATTTCTCGCGCAACAGCCTCATCAACCTGCGCGCTTACATCAGCATCGACCGCGACACTCTCAACTCTTCTGAAGTCTCGAGTTTCCTTGATATCATGGCTGGTGATATCAACAACGGTGGTGTGCAACGAGGAGGACGCGGAGACATCCTTGTTGGATTCCGCACTTTCCTCATTTTCCTTTGCTTCCTGCGAAGATGGCTTCCAGCCAATTCTCTTTCTGAACTGGAACTGATGCCAATCATTCTCATCGCCATTCTGTTGAGCTTGTTGCCAAGCTGCGTAGTAGGCAGCTAGGCCGGAGTCGCCACCAGCAAATCCTGAAGATGCATGGCCAGCCTTGGAGCTCGCACTCGAGGAGCCAGAGGGGTTTTGGAAAGCACTCTGGAGCTGGGCAGTGCGAGTGTATTTTGCGGGGAGATTCGTAAACTGGTTGAGGGAGGTGTTTGTAGACGCGTAGGAGGATTGGGACGCGGCAACAACGGACTGAGCGTAGCCGTGGGCAAAAGTCTTCGAAAAGGCTTGACGTGCGAGGTGGGTGAATGGCTTAAACACCATTTATCTAGCGGGGGACCTCTTCAGGGCGAAGAGGAGATACTTCAAAAGATGGGTTAGCAAAGAAAGTTTTCGAGGAGAAACATTTCAAAGGTGGAAAAAAAAAAGTTTACCTCTGAACTAGGATGGAAGTTAAATTGCACGTTCATTTGACGACTAACCGCCGTCAAAGGAACACGCTGGACTGGAGTGAATTAAATAAAGAAGGGGGGTTTAACAGAGAGGACAATGAGCAACTCGTCCAAACCGGCGTCAGCAATGTTGGGAGATGTATCTGCAAAACTGATGACGAAGGGTGTGATGATATATATATTGGATAAGGGGATCCTTTGGGGGCAGCATATGGCAGGCCCTCCCTCTCGCAAATAATATAGAGGGGAGATGTGAAATTGAGAGACGTGAAATTGGGAGTCAAGAGTGATGATTGAGGGAAGAGAGAAGAAGAGAAAAAAAAAGGGCGAGAAGATGTGAGATATCAAGTCGCTTGCGGCGGAGGTTAAAATGTATTTTTTATTTTATTTTTTCTTCCTTTCAACAGGCCTTGCGATCTGTTCCGCGATACCAAAGTTACCAGGAAATACAGCAAAATTACCAGCCGAAAAGCTCCGTGATTGGGCGGCCTGGCCCATGCCATTGCTGCGTCTGTTACCTCGTGACTCACTCAGGGTCGGAAGCCAGAGAAACACGTAAAATTACTCCATATGGAGTCAATCGTCATCATTATTATAAGAACAGAGGATATAATTTTAAAAATACATGACGCGGATCAGCGCCGACATTCAAGACTTGTTGCTGGGTTCCCTAAAGCTAACGCGGACATCGACAGCAATGAACAATGGGACCTACATAGATTTTGCCTTCCATACCGCTCGCTGTACAGCAGGTACTCGGTGCCTGAGGCCGTAATACGTGCATTGTTATATTGAATAATATGCACATTACAACCCATTTTACAGATGCTTATAATAATAATACCAAGCATATGCCTGTTCCCTGCACATGCCTGTCCGTTCCCGTTGGAAATCTCGAGAAGAATAATTTTTCACAACCACCATCATACCATACAGAGTAATGCTGCAGCCTGAGAGTTGGCCTGGCTTCCTCATCCGGCGTCATGCCATGTCATGTCATTGGTCATGGCTCATGGCCTGGCAAGGGGTCGAATTCCCTCCTAGCCCAGCTGGGACAAGCGGCTAAATCTCGGATAACCCGGACTCTGCATCGGCCAACCGCACGCTTGCTCTGGTTTGGCGCTGACTCACACCTCGTCCCGGGTCTTTTTCTTAGCGACGGCAGCTAGGCCCCGAACAGCTCGGGTTGCTCCCCGGCGAATTATGTCATTGGGAGGCTGGAGCCCGATTCGATTTGCTTTCGTTCTCTCCACGGACCGACCGGGGTGCGGACGGAGTGACGTTTTCCCGATCAGATCATTATTATTAATATCCATGTATTTTCCACCTCCCCTAGAGTAGACAGAGCAGATAGAGCAACAGCCTGTCCTATCCCGTTTCTTGTTTGTGTTGACTCAAAAGGGGCCCCGTCGCTTGTAACTTTGTAATAAGAAGACAGACATGGAATAATGTCACTGCAACCGTGGCTTCTTTGTTCACGACTATTGTTATTTGGAATCCCAGGGCCTGATTTGTGTTTTGAAGCCAAACTGCGCTTCGCCTATATACTCGACTTTACTTGACTACGCTGTCACTATCACCAGCTCATTGGCTCTCCCCAACTGATCGCCTGGAAGTTATTTGGAACCCGCAGCAAGGGAGCGGCAGCGTGTAACATGGGCTTCAAATCACACAAAAAAGAAAAAAAAAAGAAAAGAAAGAAAAGAAATATAGTTGGTCTTCTAGAACAACCACCCCCCCTTTGACGCTAGAGGCCATTATTACGAGCTCCGCGGGATTCTTTCGCTCAAACTGCGCCTACATACTAACCGTGCCAAGCGCACTCACTCTCTCTAGTTGAGTGCGCCCCAGCGTAACCGTAAAGGTACCTTTTGTATGAGTTCACCATACAAAAGGTACTTATAGAAAAACATGAATATCTTCAACATCATAATAGATATGAGTCCTCTATTATAATAGAAGTATATGTATCATATTCTAAGTATATTATTACAATATGTTTTTCTAAATAAAAATATATCTAGAATGAAAATTGCTAAATTTAGCATAGTAGATTTCAAGTATGGGAGAATCACTTATTTTTATTTAGAAAAGAATATTATAATATACTTAGAATATGATACATATACTTCTATTTTCATCTGAAGCTCATATCTACAATAATGTTGAAGATATTCATGTTTTTCATAGAAATGAAGTTAGGTATCTTTTATATGAGAATCACATACAAAAGATACCTATTTTAAAATATTATGGTTGCGGTGAATATTACGGTTACGCTGGGGCGCACTCACTAGAGAGAGTGAGTGCGCTTGGCACGGTTACTGCGTAACTAACTATTTATTTAGCCTTAGCTGGCTTTAGCCTTGGCTGGCCTGGTCCTTTCCCCGGCAAGCATCAGACCACTTCTGCTGAGTACCGTACCGTGCGCCCAGAAAATATAATATTACAGCAGGAAGTCAGGTCAGAAGACAACGTCAAGTTTTTTTTTTTCTTTTTCTTTTGCCTTTTCCCTTTTCCCGCCTCCATTTTCCCTTGGATGAACCCCCCGGCCCCACTGCTATGAAAAGTGACGAACTCCGCCCGGGGAACCCACAAACACACGGCCACAGGCTCCGCTGAAGCCCGCCCACCCAGCGATCGGCTCCTCCTCTCTGGCCATGCGGGATCAAGCAATCCCGAGCGTTTGTCGACGGGTGTGATGATGATGATGATGAGTGGCTCAAAGGCCAATTCGCACATGCACATGTCCCATACAAAGTACGTAGCATACGGGCTTCTTCCCGTGGCTTTTTAACCAACATGAAATGAAAAGCTTATATGATCGAGCTGGTATTATTCAGATTGAGTTGGAGCTTCGGAGTAACATAATTTCTAGGAGCCCGAGGCCAGCCTACACGTCCCTGTACAGTCCGATCTATCTACGGCGTAGGTGGGCAGACAGCATCCGCCGAAATAACTCTTCCTTTCGAATAATCTGCGTAGCCAGCTGCTGGAGCGCTGAGTCGGGTTTTTCAGACAGAGATCGACTGCTCTACATGCTTCGAATCCCTAGAACTTAACGAATAATATTTCAAGCGCGCTTTGTCTAGGCTCGGCAGACAGAAGGTTCTTGAGGCTGTCAATTCCCGCACTGAGCACTTGACAAAAAACAGAGGGAAGGCTCTTATGTAGTCTATTTTTAGAGTGTATATGTACAGCGTAGGCGCCTATCTTTACCCCCTTCTCTCTCTTTCAGGTGAGGAATGAGAGGAGGGAGGAAGAACCTAACTCGAGTCACAGACCTATTTACCTATCTACATGTATATGCCTATCCAAGCGCCCGCTACCACTCCGATTTTCTTTTTTTTTTCTCCCCCCCCCCTTTGTGCGCGTGTAACCGGCCTGATCAACAAACGGGTATTGAATCTGGCTCTTGCAATCCTCATTTGAAGAACATGAAAGATGGGAGCGTTACAAAGCCCTGTCTCAGGGTTACCGCAGACGGGCCCGCTATTATTACAAGTGCGATGGGTGCAGTGTTACGTACATAGGTAGATACATGCCTATGTAGGTATCCATGTTAGCCTTATAAGAACATCAAGCAGCATGTCGATTCCCTGTTGTTATTTTCTTGGGGATGAGGTTCTCTGCTGGTGGGACGAAATGCTGAAGGTATGGATGTGTTGGAAGGAATCAGGGTATATCAAAATTGAAGCGGTTGATGTAAAGTAAGAAGGATCGCAAGGGGATGATGTTCTTGCTAACTCAATAGGTTAGCTAATTGGATCTTCGTACTCCGTAGGGAATATACCAATGAATGCTTGGATCGTATTCATGAATATTTTACTCATGGTTTGTATGTACTATCAAAATCGCGGTTGGATCTGATAATGCGGCGCTTAAAATATAGATATGCTAACCGCATTAGGAAATCACTTTTTATAGATCCATAGATCCAACTCCCAACTCCCAACCTCAGTCTCCTGCTCAAGTCAAAAATGTGGGAACCGGTGTCTCTCCCCTTCAAGAGCAACTCCCTGCCAGCCCATCTCCCTCTACCTACTCCAGAGGAAATCCGATCCTGCCCTCACATTCTAGGGCAGCGCATGAACGCCAGGATCGTCAAAGTAAATGATGAAATTGTTGTCAAATTTGGCGGCAGCATCAGCGCCTGGGAAGGTCAGGCGTTGATCTATCTTGAACAACATGTCCCTACCGTTCCCACCCCGCGACTGTATGCGATGTACTATGACTCCGATCAACTTTTCCTGGTCATGCAGTGTGTTCCTGGCGTACCACTTGACTCTATATGGCCATCGTTGACCGAGCCTGAAAAAGTTGGCATGGCCACTAAACTCCGCCAGATATTTGATGCCATGCGGCAAGCTGAGTGTCCCTGGCCCAACTTTTTCGGAGGCTTGGATGGTACCGGTATCCATCACAGCCTATTCTACAGCCGCAAAAATGGAGATCATACGTATCTGGGCCCGTTCCATGGTGGAGCTGCCTTTGCAGCGGGACTCGCGGGAAATTTTCGAGCCTTGGCTGAGCGCAATGATCGACCGGACTTCAAGGTCCGCTTATATGAAACCCAGCTTCCGGGCATGCTGCAAGATTGCCGGCCAACATTGACACATGGGGACGTTCAGCAGAGTAACATTATGGTTGTCGAGTCGAGCCGCCAGAGTGGCCAAGGAGATCGATCATTCGATGTGGTGCTTGTGGACTGGGAGAATGCAGGCTGGTGTCCTCATTTCTGGGAATTCTTTTGTGCATCGTCGCTGTTTGATACGCGCTACTGGGAAGAGGAGTGGTGCTTGCGGGTCCAAGAGTTTCTGCCAGTGTCTCTCCCAGAGTTGGCGGTAATGCGCATGCTTAACGAAGACATGGGCCGAGGATACTAAAATGACAATAATGACATAAAAATATACTCTCTCTACCTGGATGCTTTCTCGCAACCCCTATCTGCGTCGCCGCACTCAACCTGTAATTCATTTAAAGTATGGACACGCTGCCGATCAATGCTGGAACTGTGTGCCCACCTAATTCGCCCATTCAGTACGCTTGAAGACGGGCCCATAGCGCTCCCGATTCTCCCCCGTCCAATGAAATTTTCAGCCACCCCCACAGTGCATTATATCAACCTTGCAATCCTCCTCGCGCAGAGATCCAAGCGGATGAATAGATGTTTCAGTGACGGTTAGAAGCTTCCATCGATCCTCAGGGCTTCTGCGAGCGACGTTACGTTACTGTTTCCTACTTTTCCCAGTGGACCAGACAAACCAACACGCAGCACGCAGTTTACCATTATCGGCCGACACCTGCCCCCCTAACTGTGCCTCCTTTGCGACAATGCTTTTGTAGCGGGGACTCTTGGTGTACTCGCGGTGCCCTTGTGTGCTGTGGGCCTAACTGATGGTCATTGTGGCCCTCAGGAGCGCCGAACGCCAGCCAAGGATGGAAATGGAAATAATAGATAGCACAACAAAGCGACGGTGCCCGTGGCTATATGTGTAAGTATACTCCTACTCGTGTGCAGTATAGCTCTATGATCAGGAGGCAAGTGACTGCATCGTATTGTATAGAAGCTAGGAACTTCCCCTGGGGGAGTGCATGTTCAAAATGGTGTGATTGGATGCCCATCTTCAACTATTGGCATATATCATGTATCTTAGTATTGGTACCGCCGGGTGGCTATCATAAGTTCTGCTTAGGTAAAGCTAGAAAATAGATAATGTATTCAAATAATCATAACAGGTTGATGCATGGACAGGAGAGGGGGATTTCCATGAAGTTTGTAGATTTAGTAGGGTACTTGACGTGTTAGGGTTTGAGATGGGAGTGGTTGGACATGTGGAGGACAGCAGTTTTCTGTAGGGATAGAGCAAGAATATCCAATTGCTTTCTTTGAATCACATTCATAAAGAATGGTTATTTTATTCTCATCTATATTACTACTGTTCTTCTTGCCAATGGCCAAAGAGATAAGCGTTCCAGGAGCGCCAGCCACACCTCACTAGCCACAACTAACTACACCAACCAATAACTAACTCGTTACTCCGTACTAAAGATAATAATAAAAGTTACGACAACACCGCCAGCGGTGGGAACAACGACGGCATAACAGAAAAAGCAAATAAACATTCCAACCAACCGCTCAATTTATAACAGTCATCATCATGAGCAATTGACCAAATTGATATGGCACTTGCCGATCTTATTCCAAAATCCTATCATATTTAAGCAAAGTAAATCCCCAGGTGAAGCCCTCACCCTAAGGATAATTTAACTTCTATTTCTACCCCGGCTACCGCCATGAAACCCAATACTTAATTATTATTGTTGGTGCAGCAGTGTAGCAGTTATAAAAAAACAATTACACCTCCACAACCAGTGAACGACTCAAGTCTACAACAATTCGTCGTTCAAATTATTATTACAAGATACCTACGTACCTACCTCTCTGTCCTGTGTAAATACGCCCTTCCACCATCCACGCGCTAGACAACCCTCCCTCCCCCCGCCAACCAACACATCCCTCTCCACCGCCCGCCCTCACTCTTGTCTCGTTCCCCGCTCAATTCCCTTCCCACGCTCGTCGCCCG